GCAATTATAAGACCGAGTATTTACTTTGATAAAAAAAACACCTCGGAGACAATGGGGCTTGAACCCAGGAGCTAAATCCTCCATTTCCATTGTTAATGAAATCAATTTGGAACATATGGTGCAAATCATAAACAAGAGCAGGCATACAAAGATGGACAGGAAATGTATTGCTAGATAGTGGTACAGTTCTGCAAGTTCAAAATGGATATAGTGTGGAGTAATAAACTATTTTTTTTTTTCATTGATCATTGTACATTGTTTGTTTGCTGAGTATCTGGAGAGACAACATTGTTGACAAACAAGCCTGACTGGCCTCCTTCACGTCCGCTGCTACTACCTGAAAAGAGGGCGTGGCTACTGTGACTTTCTCATTATAAAAGAACCACTCTCTTGAGTTAGAAATACTCACTACATGCAGCCATGAGTACAGATGAATAGGCACCAGAGAGACAAGCAACTTTGGCCACAGCTAACTACATTCAAAAGATCAAGCTTTCTAATGCATTACATTAAGACAACCTCAAATAGGATCACTCGCGGCTTCTGCTTTCACAAGTGCTTCTTTTTGGGGTTGTCTTGGTTGTGAATTTACCATCCATAAATATCTGCCTTGTTTCGTTTTGGAGGCTATTTTTGCGTTTTACATTTCCCTGTCATTCACATTGCCCTGGCAGTTGCACTGACTTACATCACAACAACTTCACTCACGTTGCTGACAGGATTCGAACCTGTGCGGGGAACCCCCAACGGATTTCGAGTCCATCGCCTTAACCTCTCCGCCACAGCAACAGACTGTCATTAGATGAAGGGAAAAGAACTAGCATAGTGGCAGTAAATATTTACTTGTGGTTTACCTGCATACAAATCCTCCTTCACGTCCGCTGCTACTACCTGAAAAGAGGGCGTGGCTACTGTGACTTTCTCATTATAAAAGAACCACTCTCTTGAGTTAGAAATACTCACTACATGCAGCCATGAGTACAGATGAAGAGGGACCAGAGAGCCAAGCAACTTTGGCCACAGCTGAATCCATTCAAAGACTCAGGCTTTCTAATGCAGCACATTAAGACAACCTCAAATAGGATCACTCGCGGCTTCTGCTTTCACAAGTGCTCCTTTTTGGGGTTGTCTTGGATGTGAATTTACCATCCATAATTGTCTGCCTTGTTACGTTTTGAAGGTTATTTTTACGTTTTACAAAACCTAGTCATTCACATTGCCCTGGCAGTTGCACTGACTATTTGAATGCAGTAAGTGCTACTTGTTGGGGTAATGTTGGTGAATTAAGCCACAGACATTTCCATTGTTATGGAATCAATGTGGAAGTAATGGTTAAAATCACACAAAAAGCAGGCATACAACGATGGACAGGAAATGTATTGCTAGATAGTGGCAAAGTTCTGCATGTTCAAAGTGGATATAGTATGAGGTAATAAACTTTTTTTTTTCATTGATCAATGTACATTGTTTGTTTGCTGAGTATCTACAGAGACAACATAGTTGACAAACAAGCCTGACTGGCCTCCTTAACATCTGCTGATACTACTTGAAAAGACGATCTGAATGCAGTAATTGCTATTTGTTGGGGTAATGTTGGTGATTTAAGCCACAGACATTTCCATTGTTAATGGAATCAATGTGATCACCTTTTGTTATGGCTTTTTATTACAGTTTATAATGCAGCAAGGGTCTCTAGTTAATCAAGGTGAACTATTTCAAGATTTACCAACAACATTGAAATTACATCAGATCCATGACAAATGTTGGGGGACTTTGGGGATTTGAAATCAATTTGGAACGTATGGTGCAAATCATAAACAAGAGCAGGCATACAAAGATGGACAGGAAATGTATTGCTAGATAGTGGCAAAGTTCTGCAAGTTCAAAATGGATATAGTGTGGAGTAATAAACTATTTTTTTTTCATTGATCATTGTACATTGTTTGTTTGCTGAGTATCTGGAGAGACAACATTGTTGACAAACAAGCCTGACTGGCCTCCTTCACGTCCGCTGCTACTACCTGAAAAGAGGGCGTGGCTACTGTGACTTTCTCTTTAATAAAGAACCACTCTCTTGAGTTAGAAATACTCACTACATGCAGCCATGAGTACAGATGAAGAGGCACCAGAGAGACAAGCAACTTTGGCCACAGCTAACTACATTCAAAAGCTCAAGCTTTCTAATGCATTACATTAAGACAACCTCAAATAGGATCACTCGCAGCTTCTGCTTTCACAAGTGCTTCTTTTTGGGGTTGTCTTGGTTGTGAATTTACCATCCATAAATGTCTGCCTTGTTTCGTTTTGAAGGCTATTTTTGCGTTTTACATTTCCCTGTCATTCACATTGCCCTGGCAGTTGCACTGACTTACTATCTGAATGCAGTAAGTGCTATTTGTTGGGGTAATGTTGGTGATTTAAGCCACAGACATTTCCATTGTAAATGGAATCAATGTGATCCCCTTTTGTTATGGCTTTTTATTACAGTTTATAATGCAGCAAGGGTCTCTAGTTAATCAAGGTGAACTAACCCAAGATTTACCAACAACATTGAAAATACATCAGATCCATGACAAATGTTGGGGGACTTTGGGGATTTAACCCAGTACCTAATGCATGCTATGAATGTAATTTGTCATTGAGTTCCATCGCTTCTCCAACTTACCAGAGCTAAGGAAGCAAGCAAATAAGTACTTGTCAAAAACACGCTGAGACACGTTAAATCTCGTTGCTGACAGGATTCGAACCTGTGCGTGGAAACCCCAATGGATTTCAAGTCCATCGCCTTAACCTCTCGGCCACAGCAACACACTGATTTTCCTCCGAAGGGAAATGGTCGGGCTCCAGTCTTAATGGAGGCTTGGGTTCAAACCCCACCACTGCCAAAATCTTTGCATCAAAGATAAATCAATACCCAAGCTGGTGACAATAAAGGAACATCTGTAGAGTAGCCAAAGAAACAGAGTGCCCTCTACCACTAAGCTACATCCCCTTTAGGTATGATAACTTCCCATTTGGTTAACCAACAACTTGTTTTCAAGATGTGCATTCATAAGATGGAATATTTATTTGGATTAAAAACACCTTGGAGACGATGGGGATTGAACCCAGGAGCTACTCCCCCCATTTAGCAGGCTTCTCTAGTTAATCAAGGTTTGTGAACCAACCGCAGATTAACCAACAACATTGAAAAAACATCAGATCCATGTCAAATGTTGGGTGATTTTGGGGATTTCATCCAGTATCTCCTGCATGCTAAAAACGTTTGTGTGTTATTGAGTTCCATCCCTCCTCCAAGTTACCAGAGCTCAGTAAGGAAGCCAACAAGTACAACACATCACAACAACTTCACTCACGTTGCTGACAGGATTCGAACCTGTGCGGGGAACCCCCAATGGATTTCGAGTCCATCGCCTTAACCTCTCCGCTACAGCAACAGACTGTCATTGGATGAAGGGAAAAGAACTAGCATAGTGGCAGTAAATATTTACTTGTGGTTTACCTGCATACAAATCCAGCTCTGAAAGGTAGTGTGGCCGAGAGGTCTAAGGCGCTGGATTTAGGCTCCAGTCTCTATGGAGGCGTGGGTTCAAATCCCACCACTGCCAAAAAGTTTGCTTCAAAGATAAATAACTACTCAAGCTGGTGACAATTAATGGAACTCTGACTAATAGCCAAAGAAAGAGAGTACACTCTAAAACTAAATTAAATACATTTTTGGTAACTTAGTTATTGCTTTAATTCAATCTTGGAGATGCTGGGGATTGAACCCAGGAGCGCATGTAAAGCATGCAAAGCATGCGCTCTACCACCAAGCTACATCCCCTTTTAATGTTTTATTTTTTTTAAGTTTGGTTTTACAACAATTTGTTTTCAAGGTGTGCAATTATAAGACCGAGTATTTACTTTGATAAAAAAAAAAAAACACCTCGGAGACAATGGGGCTTGAACCCAGGAGCTAAATCCTCCATTTCCATTGTTAATGAAATCAATTTGGAACGTATGGTGCAAATCATAAACAAGAGCAGGCATACAAAGATGGACAGGAAATGTATTGCTAGATAGTGGCAAAGTTCTGCAAGTTCAAAATGGATATAGTGTGAGGTAATAAACTATTTTATTTTTCATCCATCATTGTACATTGTTTGTTTGCTGAGTATCTGGAGAGACAACATTGTTGACAAACAAGCCTGACTGGCCTCCTTCACGTCCGCTGCTACTACCTGAGAAGAGGGCGTGGATGTTTATATGGCCCACCAGGTGGCAGTATCAACAAAACAATGTATTCACCCTGTATAACTGAGTGTGGATGTGTTGGGTTATGAGAATAAATATATAATAATAAAAATATATATAAATATAATAAGTGTTTCTGGCTTCTGTTTTTCAGAGTATGAGGCTCACTCACAGACAGAGAGAGAGACACACACTCTCCTGTTTTTAAAGGAAATGAAATAAACAACGAGGATCATCTGGTATAAGATATCAATAAACTTTATTGTAACATTAAACAACAGAGAAAACTAGAAACCAGAAAGCAGACAGGATGAGGAGAGAGACACACACACAGAGAGACACATGGAGAGGCACAGAGAGAGACACAGAGATACACAGAGGCACAGAGATACACAGAGAGACAGAGAGACACAGAGATACACAGAGGCACAGAGATACACAGAGAGACAGAGAGACACAGAGATACACAGAGGCACAGAGATACACAGAGAGACAGAGAGACACAGAGATACACAGAGGCACAGAGATACACAGAGAGACAGAGAGATACACAGAGAGACAGAGAGACACAGAGATACACAGAGAGACACAGAGATACACAGAGAGACAGAGAGACACAGAGATACACAGAGATACACAGAGAGACACAGAGAGATCAAAGCTTATTCAGACTGGTAAAACAAACACCTAAAACACAGTGCAATATATTCTTATAAAACTATTCACAAATAATATAACAAATAAAAAATTAAAAAACAGTGTTCTCAGTTGAGGCTCCTCCTCCAGTCTTCCAGGGTCAGACCTGAGGCCGGACAGTACCACCGCCCCTTCACCTGCGTGTGTCCTGTGGTCTTGCTCTTGTTCTCCCCACACTGCTTGCAGGTGTAGTGATACTTTTCTTTGGCCAACCTCTTCTTCGGTGGTTGTCCCCTTAATGCTCGCTCCTCATCCTCCTGGGCAGCTTTATTCAGCCTCCATGCACGCTGCCTTGGCTGAGAGGGAAGGCCTGCTGGAGGCTGCTGCAGCGGAGGAGCCTCGGGACACGGAGGAGCATGGGGGTGTGGAGGAGCTTGTGGAAGTGGAGGAGCATATTGAAAAGGTGGAGCATGGGGGAATGGAGGAGGATAAAGGTATTGGGGGTGCAGATGTGGAGGAACATGGGGAAATGGAGGTGGGTAATGTAAATGAGGAGCTTGCTGGAGAGGAGGAGCTGGTCCATATTGTGAAGGGAAAGTGGGAGGTGGTGGATGAGGCACAGGTTGGCTGGGTCCTGCAACATTTCGCTGGCGGGGGCAAGCTTCTCCCTCACGATTCTCAGGCTCTTCAAAAGTCATCTCCTGAGCATGTGGTTCAGGGGCAGCAGGGAGAGTGCTCACTGAGGGCAGAGGCTCCTTGGCCTGGTGCAGCTGTTTTGGAAGAACAGTGCCCTGCAGAAGCATGTCCCTGTCCTTCCTCTTGTCCCTCCTGAGCAGCCTACAAGACAAACATTCATGATGAACCTACAGATGAACCTGTCCTCCATAAGGTCATTACACAGTTTATTACACTGAAGATACATCTTTACACTGTGGTGACTGTTTGGGAAAGGTACATTTGTATTTGTATTCATGTGTTCCTTTGATGATAGGTTTCCTCTCATTACATTGTTCACACAATGATCATTTGAAAGTTACATATAATTTAAACATTGACATGAAAGGAACGGAGCTGGTAAGAAGGAAACAGTTCTTATATTGTTCTGTTTGTTTTCAACTTCATACAAACATGTGCTGTGATAAATAAAACAACACATACCATGAGGAGACAGTGGTGTTGTTGACTGGTACCAGCACCACGTTAGTCTGACCCAGGACCACCCTGCTGTCCTCCAGCAGCTGTCTGAGGTGGCTGTAGACGCTGACGATGAACTGTGGGATGGGCATGGTCTTGCCCTTTACGTCCTTTGGCCTGTTGCGTGCCTGATCAAACTCTTTGGCCAGTCTGAGGCAAACACACTCACTGACTCTGTTTGCTTCAGGGTCCTGAGCTGCTTGGCCATGAGTCATGTACAGTCTGTGGGAGAAAAACATCATATGTTTTGGACTGAACAAGTATGTAAAGTCATGCAGAACCAAGGGACAATGTGAACAGGGAATGCGATAACAGAATTTGAACGTAACATGGTGACATGTCTCTATGTCAATGATTAGCATTGAACCAAGAGGAGAGCAAGTTGTGGTCAAGCACCTTTCTGCCGCCTGCTGTCCTGGAGCAGAGCAACTGGGCTTTCTGGGTGCTCTCCATGGTCCTGCTGACACCTGTCCCTTCTTTTTACCCTTCTGGCTGTACCTAAACAGTGACAAAGACATCCATATGCTTCATTCGCTCAATGGAATGTATGTATAATCATGGAGTACATAATCATTACTCTTTGTACCTTGAAGGTGTCTTGTCCATGTCATGGAGAGCTGTGTACAGACGGACTATGTCTGCCTCCTCCTTGGCTGACAGAGCAGTGGTGGTGCGGTTCAGGCCAACGAGATAGGCTGCCAGGGCGTCCACACTCTCCCATCCCACAACACCTCTGGAGTCACATTGGCTGGTCTGAAAAGAGACAAAACAAGAAAATGAATGTCTCTTTCTACTGTATGTGTGCAATGGTGCTTTCACATTAATTTATGTTCTTCAAATGTAACCACATTTCACTCAGGCTAGCATTGTGTTTTTGAGAAAGTGTTATTGACCTTGGGTGTGACAGGTTCAGTGGGTTCAGTGTCCCCCTCCAACAACTGGTCCCTCGCATCACCAGCCAACAGCTCTGGCATGTGTATGGGGGCATATGCCTCCTCCTCCTCCTCCTCCTCCTCAAGCACCTGTGAGGGGTTTTCAGGGGCAGGTGCAGGAGCAAGCAGATCCCCTCTGTTGGTCTGGCCCAATAAATACTCCACCGCCGTGCGCACGTCTGAAACCAGTATAAACACAAACACAAGATGACCAAAGTATATAAACACATCCATCCATTCACCTCCTACAGTTAGTACAATACTAGCACCCAAGATGTAATACTCTGGTCTACAAATGTTGCTCTGAGATCTCTCTTACCAGTGGGTTTCCCAGGAGGGGTAAACTCTGGCACTAGAGCACAACCAAGGACACGCTGGCTCAGGCTGTTAAGGTGGGACATCAGGCGGACGTCAAAGCTCCGCAGAGCCGAGGCCCCCTCCACAGCTACTGCCTCCTTGGCCCGAGCCATGTTCCACCTGGATAGCCCCTCCAGCATGTACATCTGCATATGAGATGCATTGCACCGCCAGCCTAAGAAATACAACACTGTTTAGTAAAGTGAATACATATGAATGCCAAACTGTCGTAATAACTGTCGTAATAACTGTGTTATTTGTAATCATTACAGCACATTGTGTGTCATATCACAAAAGAACATTAAAAACATACAATACAATATAAATGCAAATGTACCTGGGATAAAAGCGCACTGGTGTCGGTGAAAACTCTCCAGGGAGGAGGACCCCCTGCCACACCTAAGGACGTCCAGCTCTTTGCCGCCCTTATGGAGTGTCCCCACCTTGGTGTAGAGCTTTAGGAGGGTCTTGGAGGCACTCCAGGTGCTTCTGCTGCACCTCCCACACATGGTGCATGGTGTCATGGTTCACCAAACGCAGCCCTGTGGTGTCAGTGAGCTCCCACACTGACTCCAGCAGCCCTGAAATCATGCGCCGTATGTCCTCTACGCCACGCGACCTCCTCCTGCAGTGTCTCCTCTGTTCCCCTGAGGTGATGGTTGCCAAGAGCTGCTCCTCCGTGGGCTCATGTCCACTGTGGCTGCTCTTCCACTCCCCTCTCTTGGCCTCCTTCAGGCCTTGCACATCCTCCTGGTCCCATTCAAAAATGCAGGAGGAGAGCTTGGCACAAAAGGTGCCATAAAGAGGGTGGTGTTCTGTGGTGAGGCCACAGTTGAAGCGCCTCATAAAGTGGAAACTGTCCAAACGCACTGCAGACCTCCATGGATGGAACAGTTTGGTCACAGAAGACACACCTGTGAGAGACAGCCATTTTAATGACATTCACAACACAATGAACATGTTCTAACAGTGTGTGTGTGCCTGTCTGTGTATGTGTCTGAGTGTGTGTGTCTCTGCATGTATGTGTGTGTCTCTGCATGTGTGTGTGTGTGTGTCTGCATGTGTGTGTGTGTGTGTCCCTGCATGTTTGTGTGTTGAATGAGGGAGAGGTGAGTGAGAGACTGAGATGCAGAGGCACAGTTTTTCCACATGTATTTCAATTTGGAGAGACGAGAAAACAAGAAGCTTTTGAGTATTTTATTGAGAGGAGGTTTGGCGCCCTAGGCCCCGGTGCGGCCTTCAGATCGGAGAGGCTCCTGCGATGGAGCGCGCACAATCCCCCGGGACCTAGGCACTGGTGGCGGCATTTGGCAGCGGGAAGCAGATTGAAGGCAGATTGGAGGCAGGGTGAAGAGGAGTAGGAGGGGAGGCGGTGGTTGCAAGGCTTTGAGAGGCCGAGAAGTGGGAGTTTCTCCGCTTTTATGCGGCTGGCCTAGCCGGTACGGATGATTGGAAGGGGCGTCTGCTGTGCGATAGGCTGGGGATGCGAACCGGCCTGGAGGGGGTAACTTTGGCTGACGTCTACCAAATTGAATTTCCGCGGGCTGCATTTCAATTTGGAGAGATGAGAAAACAAGAAGCTTTTGAGTATTTTATTGAGAGGAGGTTTGGCGCCCTAGGCCCCGGTGCGGCCTTCAGATCGGAAAGGCTCCTGCGATGAGCGCGCACAATCCCCAAAAAGGCTGTGTGTTGATGGAGTTTTCGAAGCCTGGTTTGGAGGGGACAGACGTCGTGACTGCTCTATTCTGTGACCGCTATCGCTATGCTGTGACCGCTATCGCTATATGCTGTGACCGCTATCACTATATGCTGTGACCGCTATCGCTATATGCTGTGACCGCTATCGCTATATGCTGTGACCGCTATCGCTATATGCTATGACCGCTATCGCTATATGCTGACGATCGTTATGCGCTAACCATTTTTTGCTATATGCTGTGACCGCTAACCATTTTTTGCTATATGCTGTGACCGCTATCGCTATATGCTGTGACCGCTATCGCTATATGCTGTGACCGCTATCTACTGTGACCATAACTTGCGGATACTCAGCTGCTGCCGCCACCGGGAAGTTTTGCGAGTGTTTTATGGAGATGCCAAGAGGCGCTGGGCTGCCAGAATGGTCGAAGTGTCAGGCCTGATGTATGAGGAGAGGGCCGATGATGACAAGCGGCCCAGCTGCTGGAGGGCAGAATGGGGGAGTCCTAGGGACGCGGCGCGCGTGGCGGCGCCTATCCGGAAGGAGTGAGCTGTGTAGAGATGGGGAGACAGGTTACAAAGCAGCAGTACGGACTTGAGTTGGGCTCTGAACCAGTTGGATGACATTGGGAGGTTATCGGGGGTGAGAAATAACGGTCCGTTGAGATCTCCTTTCCGAGAGCGGAGGCGAGTGTAATGCATCAGAGTTATCCTTGAGCGCTGGGACGTGAGCGCTCGCATCACGATCGACCAGACGCTGCGGCAGGGTTATCTTTGCGCGCTGGGAACGTGAGCGCTCGCATCACGTTCCGTCAGAGGCTGCGGCAGCGGAGAGTGTTTGAGAAAAGTGCGTGCCGCCACCAGAATCTTATTGCTTCACTTACTTTGCTTCGTATTGCTTTGCTGGGAGCTTACGAGGAAGCCAGTAGACGTTGTGCAGCCAGGATAGCGGACGCGTCTTGCCTGATGTAGGCGGAGAAAGCCGAAGAGGACCAGCGCCCCAGCTGTTGCAGAGAGGTGTGGGGGAGCCCCAGCAAGGCCGCGCGCGAGGCAGCGCCTATCCTGAAGGAGTGGGCTGTATAGAGCTGGGGAGACAATTGCAGAGGAGCAGTAGGGATCTTAGCTGAGCTCTGAACCAGGTTGCTGTCATGGGAAGGTTGTCTGGAGTGAGAATTAGAGGTCCGTTAAAATCTCCTTTTTGCAGCGGAGGCGAGTGTAACGCATCATGGACCTGTAGGGGCAGAGAGATGTGTCGGAGCGAGCTATTATTATGTTGCAGGCGCCTTGGTCTTTGAATGTTTGAGGTGAAGGTTGAAAGGGTCAGGGGACATTATGTTGGGTGAAAAGAGCGACCTTTGTGTAATGCTTCCACTACGTCGAGATTATCACGCATGACGGAGATCCTCTTTCTCTGCCACGTGTGATTCCGCAGCGCGCAGGCCACGACCACTGGGAATATCTCGTGTAGGGCAGAGGAGATGCTCCGGTGGAAAGTAGCGGCCACGGCCCGGCAACCCAATGGTCCTGGAAGAACCCCCCAAAACCCACGGAAGGGGCACGTCCGTGTAGAAGTGGAGACCTGTAGGGGCAGAGACATATCGGAGAGGGCCATTGATGTTCCGGGCGCCCTTACGCTTAGAATCTTGGGTTGGAGAGTAGATAATCAGGATAGTAGGATGGTCGGGAAAGCCGCGCCTCGGACCGCATGAAGGTTGAGCGAGCAGTAGTGAAACGCTTATGCAGAGAAGCCATAGAAGGCGAGCGGGAAGATGCTGCGAGGAGGGCAGACGTGTACTTGGAAGATGAGCCGGAGTTCAGTGCCGCTCAGAGCCGCTGCAGGATGGGCACCATGATGGGGAGCCTGCGATCAGAAGAGTGAAGAATACAGGTATGGATGCCTTTGATTAGGAGTCCGATTGACGGCTCAGGGCAGCTACTCGGCCAGCTGCATCTGATAGAATCCGAAGATTAGGTAGAGAGATGAAGCATGACCGCCGAAGCGACCCTGGGAGCATAGGTACGAGGCCAGCGCAGCCGGGCTGCATCAATTAGAAGCAGGATAAGCTTCTGAGAGAGTGGGTTGCAGCAGTAGCAGTAGCAGCAGCGGCAGCAGCAGTAACCTCAGATAATAACAGCGATAACCTGTATCAAGCCGCGGCAGCAGCAGCAGCAGCATCCTTAGAAAATAACAGTAATAATCCTGTATCGAGCCACAGCAGTACAATGTTGTTGTAGCTGTTCAGTGTTTCAGTAAAAGAGATGCAAGTGAAGAGAGATGGCAAAGTAAATGAAGCAGCAGCAGCAGTAGTAGCAGCAGTAGCAGTATGAAGCAGCAGCAGTAGCAGTAGCAGCAGTAGCGGTATGAAGCAGCAGCAGCAGCAGCAGCAGCAGCAGCAGCAGCTGCAGCATCCGTAGATAATAACAGCAATAATCCTGTATCAAAGCCACAGCAATAGAATATTGTTGTAGCTGTTTAGTGTTTCAGTAGAAAGATGCGAAGTGAAGAGAGATGTCAAAGTACATGAAGCAGCAGCAGCACGGCAGCAGTAGCAGTATGAAGCAGCAGCGGCAGCAGTAGCAGCAGTAGCGGTAGCAGTATGAAGCAGCATTAGCAGGAGCAGCAGCACCACAATGCGATTCATACGAACAACAGACGTGTCACGCCAGCGTGCGCCGCTTGTCTCCGTGAGCCAGGTTACATACGTGTCTGAAAGAGCCGAGCCGTAGAGACGGGTGCAGCCTGGGAGCCTGCGGAGCGGCAGCGGCAGGGACAGCAGCAGCGGCACATGTAGTAGTAGGAGCAGCAGGAGCAGGCAGCAGGGACAGACAGCAGCAGGAGCGGCAGCAGGAACAGGCAGCAGCAGGAGCGGCGGCAGGAACAGGCAGCAGCGGGATCAGGCATCAGTAGGAACGGCAGCAGGGACCGGCAGCAGCAGCGGTCAGAGAACCATGCCCATGGTTGTCTAACAACCTGAGGAAATAAATCAACCCGAATCCGAAACATTCCCATGCGAATAACAGACGTCCCCTGGAGCCATCTTGCTGCTTTGGTTATGGCAGATACGCATGAACGATCACTGTTCCACGCGTTCCTAAGCTCCAACGCCACTTCACACCCATTGCAGATTCACATTGGGCCCTTTTTCGTTCTGCTGCACTTTCAAATGCAACAACTGCAGTTTAGTTACCTAATTAAATACCAGTGACCTAGCTATTTAAATGCATGGCCCCTCCTTCCTCCCGCAGACAGACGAATTTAATACAATCATTTACAATAGTGACCTGCGAGTAATGAGATTAATGCTGTAAAGATGCGCCGTGGCAAGAGCTCTGGTGTGTGCCGTCTGGAGCACAATGGGGTAGTCTTGCAGGGCAGTGGAGGAGGATAGGCAGCTGCAGAGGGGACAAAGGTAGCCATCTTCTGATGGCTCTCACAGTCCGAGAGGTATCGGATGGCCTGACGTGCCCACTCCTCGCTGTGCACTTCCTCTATTGCTGCTTGGAAGTAGGAGGAGCTGTTTCCACTGGTCCTCGGCTTCAGGAAGGTCATACATTTCCTGTCCAGAGCCAGGTGTGTAGTGAGGACAGCGGGAAACATGCTCCTGTGGGCTACATCCAGCTGCGAGAGGATGTCCTGGCTCCATGGGCAGACCGGCAGAGCGCACTTGTTGCAACGTGGATAGTCTCCTCCCACCAGGTAGTAGTGACTATCCACGTCAATCACCTCTCTCACCTTCCTGTAGATCCCAGAGCTGTTCATCTTTCGGGAACATTGAGGGCATTTTAGAGGAATCCCCCACATCCTCATTGGTGCCCAGATGAACAGCCTTTGTCTACAGTACCAGCCAGGCTCAGGAGAAGATGGTTTGGGCTCTAGAGGAGGGTAATACCAGGAGGTTTGGAGCTTCTGTTTTAATTGTCCTGTAGGTCCATAAAGGCACTTAGCTATACAGACCTGATCTGCTTCCTGGATCACTCTCCTAAATGGCTCAGGAAGAAAGCCTTTCCAGTTAATGGATGGTGCTTTAAACAGAGTGTGGGGTGGCATGGCAGAACTGCATGAGGGGAGCGGAGATGGTGCTGGTGATGGTGCTGGTGATGGTGCTGGTGATGGTGCTGGTGATGGTGTTAGAGATGGTGTTGGTGCTGGTGTCGGTGGCAACACAGTTGGTTTTTTGTGGGGATGGCTTCATGAGTGCTGCATAATGAGCCTGTTGGATGTGAGTCAGAAGACCAACAGCACCCTGCACCTTGGCCCCGCAGCTGTCACAGGTCTCCTCCGTGTGATGGTCAAGCAGATGCTGTGAAAAGTGCTCTCCATCCACAAGCTGCTTGCACTGGAAGCACTGCACTCCGGGTGCTGCAGCTGATGCTCCTGCCTCTGTGTCTCCTCGGACTCCCTCTTCCTCTGTGCTGACTCGGATGGACGCAGCAGCCCCACTGGACGCAGCAGCACCACTGGACCCAGCAGCACCACTAGACCCAGCAGCAGCACTGGTCCCAGCCCGACTGGACCCAGCAGCACTGGACGCAGCAGCACCACTGGACGCAGCAGCACCACTGGACCCAGCAGCACTGGACCCAGCCCGACTGGACCCAGCAGCACTGGACGCAGCAGCACCACTGGACGCAGCAGCACCACTGGACCCAGCAGCACTGGACCCAGTGCCTGATGACAGATGTGCTGGCTAGGAGAGAGCACAGAAAATCAACACCAGAGGAAACAGCAAACAATCAATCAATAAGTAAATAATGAGTCCTACCTTGTGGAACCCGCAGGTGCACTGAAGGCTTCTCCCAAACAGATCCTTCGTGCTGCTCTGCAGGGGGCAAGCATCGATCCTCTCCAAGGCTTTCTTCCATTTTTTGGCCCCTGGCCGTTTGCCAGTGGAAAAGTGGTAGAGGCCCTGGGCATATTTGGCACAGATGTCCTCCAGTAACTCTCTGGCTTTCCTGTCTTCGTCATCTGCATCCATTGAATATAAAAGTGGTTAGTGTCAAACTACACGTGAATAGTTGTGCAGCAGAGTAGATATCAAACCAAAGTCACTAAACATGAATAAAGGACCATGTTAAGTAGCCATGTGTAGCTAGTGTAGCTAGTGTAGTGAATACACTACAGTAAGTAGCTATGTATTGGAGATATTGATTCTGGGGCAGATCAACTGTTGGCTCTGCTCAGACACATGACAAAGAAATAAACACTGTGGCACATATCAAGGGCAAAATCTGAGCTCATATTGTATATTGTTCATCATTTTCCTGTTGTGCACCTTTTTGTGAAGCTCTTTTGTCAACAACAGTTGTTAGTAATGTGCTATATAATAACATTTGTTTTGATTTGATGACCAGGCTCTATTAAAGAAAAAATACTATTCCTCTGACCAGCAATAATAATAGTCATTTATAGTGTGGAATCTATATGTGTTGGACTTTGGAGCTCTGTAATTACTGTATTACTGCTAAACATAATTATCTGAAGGTATTTGTTCTAACCCACATTGCTACTAGTCATTAATGCGTCAATAATATCTAAGTGATGACGTCTCTGTTCTCATCCACATTGACACACATCATATTCAAAGTTCTGTCTGCCTTTGTTCATCTGGAAGGACTCGTAAATAACCTGTAACTGGGGTTACAGTAATAAGAATAATATCTGGGGTTACAGTAATAAGAATAATATCTGGGGTTACAGTAATAAGAATAATATCTGGGGTTACAGTAATAAGAATAATATCTGGGGTTACAGTAATAACAATAATAACTGGGGTTACAGTAATAAGAATAATATCTGGGGTTACAGTAATAAGAATAATAACTGGGGTTACAGTAATAAGAATAATATCTGGGGTTACAGTAATAAGAATAATATCTGGGGTTACAGTAATAAGAATAATAACTGTGGTTACAGTAATAAGAATAATAACTGGGGTTACAGTAATAAGAATAATATCTGGGGTTACAGTAATAAGAATAATATCTGGGGTTACAGTAATAAGAATAATAACTGTGGTTACAGTAATAAGAATAATAACTGGGGTTACAGTAATAAGAATAATATCTGGGGTTACAGTAATAAGAATAATAACTGGGGTTACAGTAATAAGAATAATATCTGGGGTTACAGGTGCGATCGCGGCTGTTCTCTACAATAGTAATAATATAGTAATAATGGTAATAGGAATAACAGTAATAAGAATAATAGCCACACAGTGCTAATACGTACACAGTCAGAAGTTAGGTTTGAAAAGCGGCTCCGAGACGCAAAAGTTGAAATATAAGTTTAATAACATGCTAATACGATACTCTAGTTTTTTCCCACAGTTTAGCATTGGGCTAATATGTGGTGTTTACGTTCGGCTCATGTGTGGGATCGCGATGATATTCAGTTTATATGAGGCGTTTGTGAGAACTAATGAAGTGTCATCACTTACCGTTCTCTCGCTGTATATGCCGTAAGCAAGATGGCGGTGACTCCAAACTTTTCCATTTGCTCTAGACACGTCCCCATTTTCGTCAGGTAACGTCACGTAACCTTCTGTATGTTCGGACTGCGTTCGGACTTTGCCGAAAAGCCTTTGATCTCGTTCGGATTGTGTTCGGACCTCGTTCTGACCTTTTGTTATGTGTTAGGACCTTGTTCGGACCTGGAGACAGTCCATTTACTGGAGGGTACGGCCACAGCAACAGACTGTCATTAGATGAAGGGAAAAGAACTAGCATAGTGGCAGTAATATTTACTCGTGGTTTACCTGCATACAAATCCAGCTCTGAAAGATATTGTGGCCGAGAGGTCTAAGTCGCTGGATTTAGGCTCCAGTCTCTATGGAGGCGTGGGTTCAAATCCCACCACTGCCAAAAACTTTGCTTCAAAGATAAATAACTACTCAAGCTGGTGACAATTAATGGAACCACCAAGCTACATCCCCTTTTAATGTTTTATTTTTTTAAAGTTTGGTTTTACAACAATTTGTTTTCAAGGTGTGCAATTATAAGACCAAGTATTTACTTTGATAAAAAAAACACCTCGGAGACAATGGGGATTGAACCCAGGAGCTAAATCCTCCATTTCCATTGTTAATGAAATCAATTTGGAACGTATGGTGCAAATCATAAACAAGAGCAGGCATACAAAGATGGACAGGAAATGTATTGCTAGATAGTGGCAAAGTTCTGCAAGTTCAAAATGGATATAGTGTGGAGTAATAAACTTTTTTTTTTTTTCATTGATCATTGTACATTGTTTGTTTGCTGAGTATCTGGAGAGACAACATTGTTGACAAACAAGCCTGACTGGCCTCCTTCACGTACGCTGCTACTACCTGAAAAGAGGGCGTGGCTACTGTGACTTTCTCTTTAATAAAGAACCACTCTCTTGAGTTAGAAATACTCACTACATGCAGCCATGAGTACAGATGAAGAGGGACCAGAGAGACAAGCAACTTTGGCCACAGCTGAATCCATTCAAAGACTCAGGCTTTCTAATGCAGCACATTAAGACAACCTCAAATAGGATCACTCGCGGCTTCTGCTTTCACAAGTGCTCCTTTTTGGGGTTGTCTTGGATGTGAATTTACCATCCATAATTGTCTGCCTTGTTACGTTTTGAAGGTTAATTTTACGTTTTACAAAACCTAGTCATTCACATTGCCCTGGCAGTTGCACTGACTATTTGAATGCAGTAAGTGCTACTTTTTGGGGTAATGTTGGTGAATTAAGCCACAGACATTTCCATTGTTATGGAATCAATGTGATCCCCTTTTGTTATGGCTTTTTATTACAGTTTATAATGCAGCAAGGGTCTCTAGTTAATCAAGGTGAACTAACCCAAGATTTACCAACAACATTGAAAATACATCAGATCCATGACAAATGTTGGAGGACTTTGGGGATTTAACTCAGTACCTCATGCATGCTATGAATGTAGTTTGTCATTGAGTTCCATCGCTTCTCCAAGTTACCAGAGCTAAGGAAGCAAGCAAATAAGTACATGTCAAAACCACGCTGAGACACGTTAAATCTCGTTGCTGACAGGATTCGAACCTGTGTGGGGAAACCCCAATGGATTTCAAGTCCATCGCCTTAACCTCTCAGCCACAGCAACAGACTGATTTTCCTCCGAAGGGAAATGGTCGGGCTCCAGTCTTAATGGAGGCTTGGGTTCAAACCCCACCACTGCCAAAATCTTTGCATCAAAGATAAATCAATACCCAAGCTGGTGACAATAAAGGAACATCTGTAGAGTAGCCAAAGAAACAGAGTGCCGTCTACCACTAAGCTACATCCCCTTTAGGTATGATTATTTCACATTGGGTTAACCAACAACTTGTTTTCAAGATGTGCAATCATAAGATGGAATATTTATTTGGATTAAAAACACCTTGGAGACGATGGGGATTGAACCCAGGAGCTACTCCCCCCATTTAGCAGGCTTCTCTAGTTAACCAAGGTTTGTGAACCAACCGCAGATTAACCAACAACATTGAAAAAACATCAGATCCATGTAAAATGTTGGGTGATTTTGGGGATTTCATCCAGTATCTCCTGCATGCTAAAAATGTTTGTGTGTTATTGAGTTCCATCCCTCCTCCAAGTTACCAGAGCTCAGTAAGGAAGCCAACAAGTACAACACATAACAACAACTTCACTCACGTTGCTGACAGGATTCGAACCTGTGCGGGGAACCCCCAATGGATTTCGAGTCCATCGCCTTAACCTCTCGGCCACAGCAACAGACTGTCATTAGATGAAGGGAAAAGAACTAGCATAGTGGCAGTAATATTTACTCGTGGTTTTACCTGCATACAAATCCAGCTCTGAAAGGTAGTGTGGCCGAGAGGTCTAAGGCGCTGGATTTAGGCTCCAGTCTCTATGGAGGTGTGGGTTCAAATCCCACCACTGCCAAAAACTTTGCTTCAAAGATAAATAACTACTCAAGCTGGTGACAATTAATGGAACTCTGACTAATAGCCAAAGAAAGAGAGTACACTCTAAAACTAAATTAAATACATTTTTGGTAACTTAGTTATTGCTTTAATTCAATCTTGGAGATGCTCGGGGATTGAACCCAGGAGCGCATGTAAAGCATGCAAAGCATGCGCTCATAAAAACCACCAAGCTACATCCCCTTTTAATGTTTTATTTTTTTTAAGTTTGGTTTTTACAACAATTTTGTTTTCAAGGTGTGCAATTTATAAGATCCGATTAATTTTACTTTGATAAAAAAAAAAACTCTCGGAGACAATGGGGATTGAAAACCCAGGAGCTAAATCCTCCATTTCCATTGTTAATGAAATCAATTTGGGAACGTATGGTGCAAATCATAAACAAGTTTACAAAGATGGACAGGAAATGTTTGCACTAGATAGTGGCAAAGTTCTGCAAGTTCAAATGGATTATAGTGTGGAGTTAATAAACTATTTTTTTTTCATTGATCATTGTTGTACATTGTTGTTTGTTTGCTGAGTATCTAGAGAGACAACATTGTTGACAAAACAAGCCTGACGGGCCTCCTTCACGGTCCGCCTGCTACTACCTGAAAAGAGGGCGTGGCTACTGTGACTTTCTCATTTATAAAGAACCACTCTCTTGAGTTAGAAATACTCACACTACATACCATGCCATGAGTATCAGATGAAGAGGGACCCAGAGAGACAAGCAACTTTTGGCCACAGCTGAACTCACATTCAAAGAACTTCAGGCTTTCTAATGCAGCACATTAAGACAAACCTCAAATAGGATCACTCGCCGGCTTCTGCGATTCACAAGTGCTTTCTTTTTGGGGTTGTCTTGGTTGTGAAATTTACCATCCATAATTGTCTGCCTTGTTACCGTTTTGAAGGTTATTTTTGCGGTTATTAACATTTTACCTGGTCATTCACATTGTCCCCCCCCCCCCCCCCCCCCCCGGCAGCTGGCAGTTGCACTTGACTATTTGAATTGCAGTAAGTGCTACATGAGTTGGGGTAATGTT